TAGTTGGAGACATTCCTAGTACTTTATAGATAAAAGCCAGAACCTTTTAGCCACCCTGTAAGATTTGGGGTTTTCTTCCACACTGAAGAATTGTCTCCAGTGCCTGCCATTATTTTGTGTGTATGCATATGAATAGGTGCATGTGTATGTACGTGTGTGTTCATGTGTGCAAGTGCATGCGTGGATGTGCGTGTAGAGATCAGAGACAGATGTTGTGTATCTTGTCAAATGCTCTCCACCTTATTTTTTGAGACAGAGTCTCACTGAACCCAGAGCTTGCCAATTTGGCTGGACTGCCAAGCTAGCAAGCTTCAGGGATCCTCCTGCCTCCACTCCTCCAGTGCTGGGGTTGCGGGTGCACACTCCTATGCCTGTCTTTTTCTCCCACATTGATGGTAGAGTTTAAATTCCAGTTCTTGTGCAAAGCAAGCCCTAGGGCTGGAGGACGCTCTTGACTAGCAGAGCCATCTCTCCGGCCATCTGCATTATTTTTAATGTCTAGCTGGTCATTAATGTCAGTGAAAACCTCATTGATCACAATGTAAAGCCAGATTTGAATTCTACTTTATATATAAAACAAATTATTTTTAAACCTTTAAGAAATACATTTAATTAGTTTTTATTCAGCATGTTTATGTATGAATGTGTGCATGCCATGGCACACGTGTTTATGTCTGGGTGTGGGCATGCCATGGCACACGGGTGGAGGGGAGAGGACAACTAGCAGAAGTCTTTTCTCTCCTCCCACCTCGTGGTCCTGGGGACTCATATTCTCAGGCTTGGCGACAACTTCGCTGGCTCAGCTATCTCACCTGCCCCCAAATTCTTCTTTTTACAATTTAAATTAAGTTATTTATTAAATGACACACAAGACATGAATGTTACACGCCTCCATGAAGTCCGCATGCCCACACACATGTCCAAGTGTGCGACATTTAAGTCAGACGTAATGAGACTAATGTTTTCATGTCTTTTAATAAACACAGAATTTCCCAGCCGTGTGACGACCACTTCAGCACACTCTGATGCCGTTCCATTTCCCATCCTTTTCGCTTTTCTTTCCTCCTTCTTCCCTTCCTTTCTTTTCTTTTTCTCTGAATAACGCAGCACACTACTGTTACCTCAGCTCAACTGACCAGCACCCTTGAATTCCACCCACAGCCCTCATTCCCCTTTGCCTTAGAGCCAGGCATATTTGTAGTCTGGTGATGGTGGGGATCATATCCCGCCCATTACAACTTCAGAAACGCCTCTCTCCTTTTTTCTAAAAACAAGCACAGCGCTGCAGGAGGAAAGGTGTGTCCAGTCCAGACTCCGCCGTGTTATCGTTGTGCTTCATTGGTTTAGGTGTTATCCCGAGTGCTGTCCGTCTGTCCTCAGATTGCAGTGACGGGAACGGCTTTTGTGATGGCCAGTGTAACCTGTTCACTCTTTTCTCCCTGAGGAATGGAGAGTTAGCCGGTGACTCACTTCTCCGTGCTCGCCCATCTGGTGGGAGCAGAGGAAGACCTCTGCCAGCGTCCTTGGCTCTCCGCCCACCGTTCGTGCTATACGCTTCAACTTCACAAAATCCTTTATTCCTGTCTTTTCCAACCCTAAGAACTGTGGGCTTTGACCTTCAGAAGGCATTTCATTCTTTTGACTAACAAAGTGTGCGTGTGTGTGTGTGTGTGTGTGTGTGTGTGTGTGTGTGCGCGTGCGCATGGGTCTGAAAGGTACTTACAATAATTGGATCCGCCGCTTACGTGGTTTTTGCTGGGTTTGCTGTCCAAGGCACATAATGAGTCAAGGAGGCGACTGCCTGGCATTCGGTTGGACTGCATGGTATCAAGAAGATGCAGATAAATTGGAAGAGGTCTGGAGGAGATCGGCTAAAATGAGGAAAGGAGGGAAAATTGAGGCAGCAAGACAGGGAACGCTTCACTGAGCAGCCAGTCAGCTAGAAGAGAGCAGGCTCTGGGATGTCTATGAATATTTTCAAGCTGGAATAAAATGGTAATTACTTTACTATTTTGGTGGGGCTAAGAAAATGCACTGAGTGGATACAAAGAAAGCATACTGGGTGCCAGCACCAGCTGTAGTAAAACCCTTTACCTTAATTCTCTGTTGACCTCAGCTTTTGACATTCTAATTCTACTATGGTAGATGGCTAGGGTGACCACTTGTCTGATTTGGCCTGAAACTCATGATTTCCTTGAATTGGGGATTGTCAGCATTTAAGGCAGGATGGTCTTGTGCAAACCGGGCCAAAGTGTTACCTACTGACTGCACTGCTTAACCAACTGCGTGTGAGAACTATAATCTGGGCCTAGCCCACCTGCGCATCTTTGGACATGAGACTAGAAGAGCAGGCTACCAGAACCTTGTTGGCATGGGGATTTCAAATCTTCTCAAAGACACGCTAAAGTGATCCCTGTTGCTCACCGTTGAGCCACAGGATACCCCACTGTGCAGTTCTGCATCTACAGAGAAGCAAAGCCTGTTTGCCTGGACTCACTCAACCCAGGGGCATCTGGGTTCTTTGAAAAGATGGAGCACACGGCTTAAAGTTGCTCAGTACAGCACATTATGGGACATCTACATAGGCTGAGCCACCAATGTTTAATGGTGATGGAGATGTCATTCCTTAGATGACTCTCACTATTCGGAGTGTGGTGCTTCTGGAGCTCACGCAGGGAGGCCAGCATCAGGGCGTGAGCTCCACAGGAGCAAGTTGAGGAGTGTTTGAACACAGTAAGTGGCAGCAGGAGGCTGGCTGGTCACTTTTTAGTTGTAGGAAATGACAGTAATAAGACAGGCCCTCAGACAATAGGAAAAAAGAACCATTGAAACTGAGGAACATTTAATGAGAGAGCGCACGAAAGCCCTCTGAGAACTGGGGGCCATTTGCAGAGGCCTAATGAACCCTAATGAAATGCTGTGAGACTTCCTCCAAGTTAAATAGTATCTCTACTTGTATCCAACCCATCAGAGCCTAAGTCCTATTCTGTCAAAGCAGAGAGACTCAGGGTCCCAGTGCCCCAAGGACTGTTTACTGGGAGAGTCAGGAAAGAAACAGGATCAAAGTAATTGCTGAAAAGCAAACACAGGAGGAAAGGATAAAAACCTAGTTCAAGGCTGCCTGGTCTTGTCTGGTCAGGACTGGTCAGAACTGAGGTGAGGGTCAGGAGCAGACTGGTCATTTCGTAATCAGTCTCGTGCACCCTGACTCCACAACTGTAGACTGACTTGTACGCAAGATAAAATGACTGGCCGCCATTAATGAAAGAGCAGTGTGCCACAGGTATGACCTATTTGTCCTTAGATGCATCTGGAGGACTGAAGAACATGGTGGAAGCAAGCCATAAGGGAAGTGCCTAAAATCAGACCACGGAGAGGACGGTGTGCTGCTGCAATTTACCCTGGTTGTCGATGCAGAGTAAACAGCTCTGTCTGTGGTCACCACCCTCTACCACTTCTGTAGCATCTGCCTTGGTCCCCATCTTCCTTAAGGATTATCGGTCATCTTCCTCTTCATCGAAGTCCTGGGTCTGCCTTGTAATGGAAAGGGCTGGTGGATGGAAAACCCATCCACCACCAGGGGGCAGGCTGGTCGCTTCAAGGAGGAACTAACAGGGCTGAAAACTGTTGCTGTTAGTGCCTAAGCTAGGAAGTTAGTCAGATCAGCTGTGACGTAGGAGCCTGCATCTTTGACTCCACTTACGAATTCCACTCCTGATTTCATGTCACTGTGCATGAGCCCACCCAAGAGTCACTCATTGGCTGGGAGGGAGTTGACTGGCAGCTAGAGGGCTGATCTCCATCATTCTTACTCACCTTTCCCACCATGGAGTGAAGGTCTCTGGGGACTATACACTTGAGACACGTGTCTAGATGCCAATCCTATGGCTCCTTAAATCTCCGTGACACTGATTTCCTAGTCTGTTTCCTCCAGGTTCCTGACCGGGCAACTTAATATCAACCACTGTTGAAGAATCGATAATATATGGGCTGGAGAAATGTCTCACTGGTTAAGAGCACTGAGTGCTCTTCCGGAGGTCCTGAGTTCAAATCCCAGCAACCACATGGTGGCTCACAACCATCTGTAATAGGATCCTATGCCCTCTTCTGGTGTGTCTGAAGACAGCTACACTGTACTCATATACATAAAATAAATAAATAAATCTTTAAAAAAAAGAATCAATAATATGTAATGTCAAGCTTCCTCATCCAGCAAAAACTGGGCAATAAAATGTCATACACAAAGACCAACCCTGTTTAAGTGGTTCTCAACCTGTGAGTCATGACCGACTTGGGGGTTGCATATCAGATATTTATATTACTGTTCATAACAACTGCAAAATTACAGTTATGAGACAGCAACAAAATAATCTTATGGTTGGGGGGCAGCACAACATGAGGAACTGTATTAAAGGGTAGCAGCATTAGGAAGGTTGAGAACCGGCTGGGCGGTGGTGGCGCACGCCTTTAATCCCAGCACTTGGGAGGTAGAGGCAGGCGGATTTCTGAGTTCGAGGGTTCGAGGCTAGCTTGGTCTACAGAGTGAGTTCCAGGACAGACAGGGCTACTCAGAGAAACCCTGTCTCGAAAAAACCAACCCCCCCCCAAAAAAAAGGAAGGTTGAGAACCACCACTGTAGGATGTAGGATGGTTTTCCTTGCTTACTGTGTTTAGTGGCCATTCAAATGTGTTGGTGTAGGTTTATGAGTCTAGCAAGGCTGGTACATGCACGTCAAGCAGATCCCTCTCAAGCTAACCTTGACTTCCTCCTCCTTGGTTGAGCTGGCATAGGGGACTCTTGGTGAGTATGGAGGTGGAGATGGAGGGGTGGGGCAAGAGAAGGTAGAGATGAGCCTCGAGGTCACCGACAGCTTGAACATTCACACACACCATTTTTTATTTGTCCAGTTCTTGATTGTCCTCCAAACTGATGTGATCTGCAGGTGCAAAGGTTAATAACTCTCGATAGATCAGGACTCATCCTTCCATGGCAGGAACAAATTAAACCTGCCGTAGTATTCATTGCTTGCTTCTGTCTGATCCTAGATCCCGGTGAGAGAAAGGCAGGTAGGTGGAAGCAACCATTGATTACCATCAACATCACCTGTGGGCGGAGTCTACTCCTGGGTATATGTCACCTGGGGCTCCACATGTGCTCTCTCATTGAGTTCTTGTCATACATAGATGGCTAGGGGCTGTTTTGCTCTCTGTGTAGAAATCAGGAGCAGCAAGGGGCAGGTCCCTTTGCACTGATGACCCTGAGTCCCAGAAGACTCACAAGCTAGCCTTGGCAGATCCAGAGGCCTAGAGCTGTTAAGTCTTGAGAACTGGAGACTGAAGACTCTGAGCTTTCGAAGCAGGAGGCTCACTCACTGTACCAGAGGCCAGAGCCAGAGGTTTAGTAGAGTCTTAGCTTCTGAGTGCTGAGTGTCAAGCCAATTAGCTCTTTGTAGCCTTCAGCAGTGCTGTTGATCTCTTGCAGTGGCTGGCCTGCAGTCTTTACACACAGCCTTTGCCTTCAGATCTTACAGCCTTTCCGTCCTCTGGAGTCTCCCCCACCTCTCAGCCTCTCTCAGTCCACTCTTTTTTTTTTTTTTTTATGTCTTACTTTCCTGACAATCTACCTTGATTGTCATGATCTTCCTCTGGAGCTCTTTAGTCTGCTCCTTGTGTGGTCCTAGACCAAATGAAAGGGAGGAAAGGGAAAGGCACGGCTTCTAGCTTCCATCCCTCTCCGTTTCCTCAAAGTGTGACCAGCTGCCTCCCATCCTCACCCTCACCCTTGCTCTTACAGCTAGGGCTACTCTTACTGCCAGGCCTTCCCTGCCACAACGGATTGTGTACCTCAAACTGTGAGCCAAAGTAAACCTTCCTTTATTTAGGTTGCTTTTGTGTTGACACTGGGAAAGTAAAGGAGGAGGAGGAGGAGGAGGAAGATCATGAATTTGAGGCCAGCCTGGATTCCATAGAGATTTCCAGGCCAGTCTACAATATATAGCAATTCCCTACATTAAAACAATGTAAACACCACAGAAAAATCGAAGTCTGAAAATGCTCGCAGCTGGTGGACTGTTTCTGTCTAGTACGCATATAGCCTTATAGTCATGTGTGATCTACATGCTGTGCGTATCGAGGGTCAGTTGTGTGAGCTCTTGAGCCTCTCTTTTGTTTGTTTGTTTTTGTTTTTGTTTTTTGTTTTTTTGTTTTGGTTTTTTGAGACAGGGTTTCTCTGTCCTGGCTGTCCTGGAACTCACTCTGTAGACCAGGCTAGCCTCGAACTCTCGAACTCAGAAATCTGCCTGCCTCTGCCTCCCAAGTGCTGGGATTAAAGGCGTGCTCCACCACCGCCCGGCTTGTTTTCTTTTTTGTTTTTATTTTTTTGAGACAAGATTTCTCTGTGCAGCCTTGGATGTCCCGGACCATACTCTGTTGACCAGGCTCATCTTGAACTCTCAGAGATGTCTGCCTCCTCAGTGCTGGGATTAAAGGCATGGGCCTCGCTGCCCAGTAGCTCTCCTTATACCACCCGTACTCACAACAGCAGTGAATTAAATCATACGAGTGTTGCATGATCCGTTTTATTCAACAAATGGAATGTGTATAGATACCAGGCATGGTCTTCATGTCCAGAGTAAGTCAGTGAACAAAGAACAAAATACCTTCTCTCCATAGTATCTGTACTTTATCCCAGAGGATACAAACTACCTTTTAGAGAGCTCAGTTGAATGCTTTGGTGAGACCCAACATATGTAAATTGCTCAAACTGTTGCTTAATTTGGTTATGTTTGAGACAACTGTAAGAAGATTGGAAGAAATACTTCAATGTTCTGGAAGGATTCCACTCTCAGAATACTGCACAAGTGTCCTTAAATCTTCTTCTATTTTAGGAAAATCAAAACTAGAAAAGCACGAATACAGTTTATACCAAAAAAAAAAAAAATCAAAACCTCAAAGACATCTAATCAACAGACCCCAAAGAAGGCCTATGTCCACACAAAGCATTTAAGGTAAATATTTATTTTTTCCTTTTTCAAAATGAGTTTTTACTGTGCAAGGAATGCTCGTTTCAACTGGGTCAGGTGATTTCCTCTCCTGGTGTTTGAAGACCTCTTCAATCAGAATTGCTAGGGAACAGCAGTTTTGAATTAGGGATTCTGGAAGTGGCCTCTGGGCATCTGCAGTTAGACAAGCTTCCTAGGGACCTACTCCAGAAGCCTGTCTGCCACTGACTTTTACCACTCGGCAAAAACCTCTGGGCCGCTCTGTGTCTGTCTCTGTGTCTGTCTCTGTGTCTGTCTCTGTCTCTCTGTCATCCTCTGGGTCTTCTTGCTCTGGACCTTTAGACTTTGAAGACCAGAGGTCTCCATGGTAGTTACTGGGGAGACCCAGCCTATGTTTGCAAGGCAAAGCCTTTCAACCATCAATGCTGGATATGTTTCTCAGTTGCTCTTTACCTGAAGTTTCTGAGACAGGATACCTCACTGAACCTGGAGATCATTGACTTAGACTGGCTGGCCAGCAAGCAAGTGCTGAGGCTCTTGTCATTGTTTTAAAAAACATGGGTTCTAGAGGATCAACCTCAGGCCTCATGCTCACATAGCCAGCTCTTTATCAACTAAGCCATCTTGCCAGCCCCCAGTGTATAATTTTTGGTACCTAAATTAGGCGTCCCAAGGAAATTAAAAGGTGATTAGTTGTAAACCCTTTATTACCTTAACACAAAATCTGCCTGTGACTGAGTTACATACATGACTATACAGCGATACAGGATTATTATAGTTGTGTAACAGTCACTACTAATTCTTTAGGATGATGAGAGTCTCTGATTGGCCCAGCAGTCTGAATTAACTGGATACGGGACTTTGAAAATTAAATCTGAGATGGTCCTGGGCAAACTGGAAAAGTTAGTCATCATAGAGAATAATCAGCTTAGGACCAAGCACAGAAGAGGAGAGTTTTGTGGAGGAGGATGTCTGAGTGGGCATTCAGTCTAGAAGAATGGATAGCCACCTAGAGCTAGGGGAGGAGAGAGAATTCTAGTTCAGATGCATGAACCGCCTCAGAATTCCTGGCACCATTTGCTTAAATCCAGGTACTTTAAACGCGGCGTGTTTCTAGTGATCACTTGGCGTGTTGCTACAGGAGGTGCGACAAAGCTAAGCGGTTCTGCAAGCTAAAACGGTAACGATTTCAACTCGCACCCACCTCAGAATACAGGTTAATAAGCTACTGTTTGCAGAAGCCTTGGAGAGTAGGCAGCATGTATGTCTCCTCCCGTTTCCCCCACCCCGTAGATATTATTAGCCACTTAGTGACACCTTGAACGCATTAAACCCTATTTCTGTACTTCCGCCAGCCCTTGTTTCTTCAGACTTCTTTGAAACAACTGGGGTCCTGCAGATTTCAGCACAAGGCTTCTCGCTGGAGCTGAAGGAGCCACAGTGGCCATCACATGTGTGACTTGGTTCCAAACCAACCCCAGAGCTGTAGGATCATCTTCCAAACACAAGCTGGAGCCTTGTTGAAAGGTTGTTGCATCTTCTCTCTGTGACATAGTCGTAGATACCTTTTACATACATTGCTTGTGTGTCCTTTTTTTTTTTCATATACATACATGTAACATCATAGATCAGATGATAGGTGGTCATGAGATATCATGTACCATTTATCTTTACTCTGTGTGTGCCTGTGTGCGTGCACACATGTATGCATGCATGCAGTGCATACACATGGTGTGCTTGTGGCTATCCAGAAGCTAGAGAATGACACCTGCCATAACCAGAACACTATAGTTTTTAGAAAGACAACTTCTTGGGGCCTCTCTCCTGACACCTCTAGGCAAATGCATTGTATCTGTTAGCTATGGAGAGCATCCCCAGTCACCCTTGGTATGAGCTATTCCCCTTAGGATCCTGTGCTAAGGCTTAGTTGGCAGGTGATGGGCCTTTGTGAAGTCACTGGACGCTGAGGGATGTGACCTAGTTAATGAATGATCAATCTGCTGATGAATTTATTAGGAAGTGGTAGAGACCTGGGGGGGCGAGGTCTGCCTGGAGGAGCCAGGTCATGACGTCGTGCTGCTGAAGAGTACGTCTTGCCTCTGGTGCCTTCCTATCTCTCCCTTTGCTTTATAGGCACGGTGAGGTAGGCACGTTTGCTCTACCTTGGCCTGAAATCAATGGAGCCAAATGCTGCATGAACCATGAAAGAAACCTCTGAAGCTGAGCTTCCCCCCAGCGGACTTCAGACAATTGGCCTCTGGCCACTGGGTTCCTTTTGCTTTAGAAGTGTTGAGTCCTCTTGGTTGGAGGGAGCCTCCTTAGTGATGACAGTTATCTGATTAGCCTTGCTTTCTTCTCTCTGTCCTTCGTGGCCTTCTTTCAGTGGACTGGATGGGGAATCTCCTAATGATATCTTAAAAGACTGTTTTCCCCTCACACATTCAGCAAGCCAAGTCTGTATTTCCCTAACACTCGTTTTGAAGAGCAGAACACATATTGATAGTCACTGTAAGCATTAGTCATTTATGGATCGGACCTGCCCAGTAAACATTTCTACCATCATGGAACTGTTCTCTGTTTGCACAGTCTACGGAAGCCCCAGGCATCCTTGTATGCTTCAGATATGACTAGTGTCAGCAAGAAACCACAGGTTAAATTTTATACAAATTAAAATTTTAGGCGGCTCCATGTAGTCCGTGAATGTCTGTAGTACAGGGCAGTACAATTATATGACATGTAGATACTGTCTGGGTTTTCTCCTCCAGTTCTTGGTTGCAATGTCTTCGTTGGGACACCCAGGCCCACTCCTTCCATGTCTCTAGTCTCCTTAACACCAAGGAAGTAAACACTCAGCTCTGTGCCCTCTTGTTTCTGCTATTCTCAGACTCCTTTGCAGGTCGAGTGGGAGGGTGGGCTGGGCAAAGCTTGTAGAAATGTCAGCTACCCAGGTGAGACAATTCCAGTTGCTAGGCATTCTCTTTATTGACACGATAGGGTTACCTGCTTCCGAGGAGGGCAACAGCTAAATTTTAAAATGAGATGCCAGAGTCATAGGTGGATCGTATTTCTATTTCATTTTAATGTGTGTTTAAACTAATACAAGCCATTGGAGTGGTACCTACTTGAAAACCATATTATCAACATTTTAGAAGAAAGCGCGTGGAAATGATAAGTACACAGCCAGAAAATAATCCAAAGAGTGAGTTCTGAGTTTGCACAAAGGAAGGCAGCCAGCTCTGTTCTCGAGTTTCCAATGGAGGCTCCATCTCTGGGATGGAACAAGCTGACCAAGGCTTGGGATGAGGGAGTGGAGAGGGAGGTGTTGTTTCCCTAATTGGTTCTTGATTGTGGCAATTAAAAAAAAGGCAGAAGCCAATTGCTGAGGACAAGGGAAAAGGTGGGACTTCTGGGTCCCAGAAGGGAAGGGACTCAGGGAAAGAGGAATTGGGACCAGGCTTTGGAACGAAGAGGAAGCTGCAGTCACGTAGATCTTGGGGCACCTAGAGTTCATAGCCTCCTCTGCGAGCAGGGGCCAGGGAGGTTGGACGGAGCTGTCTGTTAGGATTAGGGCAGGAAATCTTCGCCCAGCCATTGAGTTATCTGGGTAGTTTTAAAATAATAAAACTGCCTAGTGTTTTCTATCCGCAGAGCTAAGGTGGGCAGGTGGAGAAAGAGGGCAGCGGGCGGTTGTTGGCGGCTTGGCAAAACTAACCAGGAGGGGCTGGGGGAGAGGTCACAACATCTGGGAAAAACAGCCACCTGATCCTTGGCGGAGTGAGACCACCAGCGGCGACTGATCTCAGGAGCCTAGCGGTGCGGTGCGGTGCAGGCAGAGCTCCCGGGAAGGCAGAAGTGTAATTTTTAAAAATTACACCCAACAAGGGAGAAGACTGGGAAAGGTGGTTTATAAAAGGTGTTCCCGAGAGAACACTGGGACAAGGCACTTCCCAAGAAGAGAAACACTTACTTTGTGAGCAGTCTTCTAAGTCAAGTTGGAAGCTCTGTGAAGAGGAGAGGCCTAGAGACAACAACAGAGGATGCTGTGCATTGGGAAGGATCCAAGGTGGCCCAGCAGCGCCGGGGGTAAGGTAGATGGTCTGCTTCAGAGTGGCTCAGACAAAGACTATGTAAGGGACAATTCACCAGCTTGAAGGAAAGTCAAGAAGCCTGCTGATTTGGTTCCCAAGGGTCTTTCCTGGCTTCCTGGAATCTTCTCACCATGCCTTCACACCAGAGAGAGAACTCTGGTTCTTTCTTCCTCTTATAAAAACACGGTCCCACCATGAGGATCCCCCCTGCCCGACCTTACGGAAGCTTCAGCATGAACCTGGCCTGCTCACACCTTTGGGTCTCAGAGTTGCACCATTGAGGACTTGGAATAAATTTTTGTTAAGCCACCTGCTCTGATACGTTGTGAGAGTAGACATAACGGGGGTGGGGTGGGGGTGGGGGTGGGGTGGGGGGATGCTGCCACCATTGTAATGCATCCATTAGCCTTCCACACGGATGCCTACCTCCGTCATCCTATGTAGAACGTGACAGTCCTGAAGAGGTCTAGGCTGATCAAAAGAGGGGCTTGGAATTGACCGTGGAGATGGATGACTCTGTGGGCTGGATTCTATGGATGGGAATAGACAACACCTGAGAGATTTCACCCCCAGGAAGGAAGACCCAGCCCCCAGGAGCAGGCTCTGTCTCAGATGACGCAGAACATGGCTTTTCTGATTAGATCCCACTGTGCCTTGAATGCATGCATCTCCACAAAAGGATCTGTGGTAATCTTATGTGGCAGTACTGGGAAGGGAAGCCTTACAGGAGGTGTCAGGTGACAAGGAAGGGCTCTACCCTCGTGAACAGAACACTGCCTGTTACAGAGGCTGGAGAGGGGTACAGAAGCTCTATGCCTCTGTCGTTCCTTTCCCCTTCTCTGTGTGATGTCCTCCCCCTTTTTA